AAAACATAAAAAAATAATTTTTTACAATACAGTAAACACGATTATTATTTTAAAAAAAATTTAGGCTTAACATCGATGAAAATTCAACATGGCGTCACAGGCAACAAGTAAAAATTTCAACATTGAATAGGTTAAATGTTCTAATTAGCAGTTATAAAATGTTAATTAAAAAAGATTCAGAAACTATTTACATAAGATGCACAGAATGACTTCAAAAAATTTACATAAAATGTACTAAAATTGAAATATTTTAATTGAGAAATGCACTTACAAATTAAAAATTACTCATGGTTTTGAAGAGTATTATGTATTAGTAGTGAAGTAAATTATAAATATATATTTTTAGTTTACAGATTAGTAAGACAAATTAATATTTATCTGATTAAGGTCATTGTTTTTGAAAAACAAAATTAGATATTTCCCACAAATATAATACAGCAGAACTCCAATTATCTGAGGTATTGTAGACTGATGCTACCCTGGATAATCAAAAACAGTTAAAATGGATGACCATGGCCTTTTTGGAATAAAAATTATGAATATAAAAGATTTATCTAACTTAAATGATAAAAAGTAACAGAAAATCAATTTTTAATATATTTTATTGTTTTAAAAATGTCTTATGAATTACAGTGTAAGAAAAATAGTGTATTCACTTACAGGATAGCCTTGGATAATGCAGAACATCGGTTAATCGGGGCTCGGATAACTGAGGTTTTGCTGTAATAATTATTTCTCAATGTCTAATTCACACCAATAAAGACTTTTAATGAAAGATCAACCCTACATAATTTATCTATTAAATACTTTTAATTATTTTAATGTCAATAAAATAAGAACACACTCATTATTCCAGATTAAGTAGAAAATATTTCCTTGAACAATTGTAACTAAGACTTCTAATAAATTTTTTCCCTATGTTGAAAATATTTACATTTATAACATTTAAGGCAGAGTATTTACATAAAATCAGAATAAAAATTAACAAATTAAAATAAATTTTCATAATTTTCTGAAGTACAGTAAAATCTCTATATAACAAATTCTTGGGAGTAAAAGACTTAGATACAGGGAAATTTCCATTTAATACAATCAAAATTCCTAAATGGAAATTCAATTGTCTCACCATCATCTTTCATCAGCTCCAGTAGTTTTAAAATTTACACAAAATTATATTTAGGAAACTAAGCTGTACTGTAATTCAGCATCCTCTCATTCCAATGATATCATGCCCTTTGAGGCATTTTATGAAGTGGAAATCATCCATTTATTTGTTCTTAGCAGCTTTTGCTTCAAGATCTCTTTCAGTGCCCTCAGTTTCTTCTTGTAATGCACTGGATGAATGTTCCAAGCCTTTCTGAATGAAAAATTTCTTTACATTTTTTAATGAAAAAGCTAGAAAATGACAATTTCTGTTTTTTGTTCAAGGCTGCCAGAATGTCAACATCTTCATTTTATTGTGAATGCTTGCTCAAACAGAGCTGTATTTCTGTTTTATTCAGTTTTGATGATAATCACAAAAATAAAACAATCTTCAGCATTTATGTTTTCTTCTATCTCTTCCAGAATGACTTGAAGTTGTTGCTAGACTAAAAGTCATAGTGTTGGATTCAACAGTTTTAACTTTTACATCCAACCCTTTCAAAGCATTTTTAAACTGAATATTTTTCTATTAGCTTGAACAATGCTATCAGTTTCTCAACAGGATTCAATAACTGAAAACATTTTAGATGCCTCCGAACTGTTATTCAAGTTTTCACATTCAGCAATGCCTGAATCATCAACTATCAGTGATGAGCATATATGTATGATCTTTTGATCTAAAGAACTAAAACAGTGTTGCTCAGAAAAACTTCCAATTTAATGGCAGTAAGCATGATGTGGAAATGGCATACAGCACTGTTCAGAAATAAAAGAACATTTCTATTTTCTTTTTGCATTTTCCTATTGAAATTATGCAGCCATTTCATCATTGCAGCTGTCAAGGCATTTGTATTAAATTCTTGTATTATTGGATGAACGGTTATTTTGTCAAAATACCTGGTTAGTTTAGTTTTTCCTATGACTAATAGTTTCTCATTCACTATTTATATTGCAACATAGAAAAAGTGTCAATCTTTTGTCATAAACAGTGTGTATATAGCACAAGGACTTTGTTGGTCATCTAAAAGAAAAAACAAAAAATCATCTTGCCATAATTGAATAAATCATAGGGATCATATCTAAAGAATTTGCTTTAGATCTTTCAAGGCTATCACAATTTCCGGATCAGTACCTAGCTTTATCTATATAACTTTTTAAAAAGAATCTGATATTTATTTCCAAATTTTTCTAGCCATTCTAGCCTTAAAATTTGTCAAACTTTGCTGATGAGTGCAAGACAGTGCTTTTTGCTGTGAAATGGGTCTTGACAATGGAATGCTTTTTATTCTCATTGCAACAAACTTATCATACACTGTTTATAATTTATTTTGTATACTAGTACTTTCTATATATTAACCAAAGGGTTTACCAATTCTGCATTTTTCACATTGTTTTCATATTAAATACAGAATCTAAACTATTCAGCATTTTAATCTTTTTGTGAGTATCAGACAAGTAAATTTCTTTGACATCATACTATAAGTGATACAAAGTTATAACCCAAAAATGTTCCAAAATAAAATACTGTACATTGCACTAATTTGTAATTATGAAACATTAATGACTTCTGTACAAAGGTAAGTACACAATGTTTTGTAGTCTACTCATTTTTTAACTATTTGTATATTAACTCTTTAAATATGAAATTGGCCAAAACTGCCTTTTGAAATGAAATCAGCTGAAAGCAAAGTTGTTTGACTGGTTTTGCTTTACAAATTCCCCCATAACTAAAGCAAAGCCTGAGGGGTAAAAACAATTTTATATCCAGCTATATAGAAAGAAGTTTTCAAATTTTAAAAAGTTAAAGTACAATCTTTTCTTCTGTTTTCAATCAAAAGCATTTTTGCAACACTTAGGGTGCGACTATGCAGACGCAAGCGAGCGAATTTTCCAAGTGAGCGAGAATATGTGGCGAGAAGAGGCAATACGTGATAAATATCAAAACCTGTCAAATATGTGTGAGAATCAGAAATTAGCTCTCGCCAGCGTTATTTCTCACTTCTTGTTTGTGCATGGTTTTCCTTTGCGAAAACTAAATTGCTTGCAAGCTTTTGCTCGCTCTAAATTTGCGTCTGCATAGTCGCACCCTTAGATCAATGTGAAAGATTGCCAGAAAGAGAAGCTGAAACAATGAGAAACCTGTAAAAGGAACTGGAACATAGCTGTTTTTGATGAAAGCTTTTCTCTTCTCCTGTTCTTTTATACCCTCATCCATGGTTCCCAGTAAGATCTTTTCTTAATTCTACATCTGGAGACTTTCCACAATAAGAAAAATCTCTCTCTTTTGGTTACTTAACCTTTTACATTCAAATTATTTCTGATCCATTGCATGGAAACCATTGATTCTGCCCTTCTATCACCAGTTGCATCTTTCCCAAGACCACTTCTCAACTAAGTATAATATTAAATGCAACACATACACATTTGATATTTCTGTTATATTAATATACCAAAGTGTATAAAAATTTAATTTTCCTTTCCTGATATAATATCCAAACAATTAACCACACACTGGGTTTTCTAGAAAGACTACTAAACAAAGAGTTGACACAGATACAATAAACAATTACAAAATGTGGATACATATTTATTTGCAACATTCAATTGATGACTCCCAAAAGCAAGAAAAACAAAACAAAAAAAAAACATATTCATTATATTAGCATAAACTTTTGCTCATACTCTTCCTGGAAAAAAAAACTGGAACTTTAAATAATATAATTTTGAAAACTATAAAATCTTCCATTAGGTGCTATTTCATCAAACAATATTTCAACATGTAGAACCCTGTATTTCTAGCTGGTAGAAAATTTGCTTAATGAGAATATTTCAATTAAATAGAATGTCCATTATATGGAGATTTTACTGTATTTAAAAATTATTAAAGTATTGATTTTAATTTGATATTTACCTTTAGTATTATCAACAGTAACACGCTCTCCACGCCACATATCCAAATCTCCACGTTGTAATTCCTTAGATACAAGTGCATAGAATTCAAGTGTTGGTCCCAATCCTGTTCCAACCTAAAACAATTTTTTTGAATTATTATTAACAGATCTGTGATGTAACTATTTTAAAATTTTACTCTCTTGATTGAATTTAGTAAATTTTATTTGCATTATTTCAAAAAATNGTTTGGCCTAACCAAATAATGTCTTTTTTATTTTGATTAATAAACATTTATTCATCATAATATTCACTTTCACATTCAATTACACATTCTCAACAGGAGGTCAGTTTAAAAATATAATTTTTATAAATGATTTGAATGATCCCTGAAAAATCTTCCTTTGTGTTTGGTGGGCTTTGAGGTATTGTTAAACAAGAGTATTTGAATTTTGGTCAAACCTTTGCAGAAGATTTGTACAGCGAGAGGATATAAAAAATACATGACAAATTAAGGCTCAACAGCCATCTTTGGCAAATTGTTGAGGTGTTTTTGTTTTTTTACACTCACCCATACATTGCAGGAATTACAAGAAACAAAATAATGCAATTGGAATGGAAAATTTTACTTCATCCTTCCTATTCTACTGACTTATCTCTGTTGGATTACCACTTTTCATCTTTAGATAATCAATGTGTGGAAAACAATTTACAAATCATGCAGTTACAAAAAAATAATACAATTTTTAATACTAAAAATGATATTTTCAAACTGCACTCCCATTGGGAAAGGGTACTTGAATGTGAAAGTGAACATTTTGATGAATAAAATTATTTTAAACAAAAAAATAAAAGCATTTTTTTCATTTTCAAAAGTAACCTTATATTACCTGATATTTGTTTATTTAGATTACTCAGAATTTGCAAAAAAAAAATCCAATAATAAGTGCATTTTATAAAATACATACGTGGGAATTATCTTGTTCCATTCTTCGTTTCTGAAGAGCAACTTGTTCAAGTTGATGAAATGTACGAGAAATTGCTGGATCTATATGGCACAGATCAGCTGATGAAAGACTTAATTCTTGCCCTAATACCCACTTGTAGAAGGCAAAGCTTAATGGTATATCCAACTAGAAATAGGGAGAATAAAAACTTAATATATTTCAATTTTTGCATTTGAAGGATCTCCCTAAATGTTAAATTCATAAATTTCAAAAACTTACTTATAGATTTAACAATACTATATTAATTTTAGCATTTTACAACTACTTATTCTAATTACATCTTTTTATAAATCTGAATTAAAATCAAATTTATGGCTATAAAATTTAAATGAAATTATGTTAATTTAATAATAAATTTCAAAAGCTCTTTCGCCTATAATTTTTGGAAACTTAGATCTTATTTGTTCATTAATTACAACATTGCTATATGAGTATACTTAAAATGTAGCAAAACATTCTTTTTAATATAAAAATAATGGCCAACAAAATTATTGTGTAGGATTGTTTGGATTAGTGGGATTGTATATAATGAAAAGCTGGTAAAAAAACTGTAGACTCAGTAAGCATGTTATTAAAAATTAATCTATTTTTTTTTTAGTTTTTGCCAGAGCAGAAAAATGAACAAAATTTGTTAACATTTTAGCAAGATTATTATAAATATACAAAAATTTAAAATAAGTTATATTGTAGAAATAAATTTTTTTGTAAAAATGCAGCCTTTCTATTTACAAATATAAAGATCTTTCAACCTGATTCTTAGATCATTACTTGATAGATTCTTAGATCTTAAATTACTTGACATTTAATTAGTAATATTATTTTAGTGAAATATAATCTGGCAATTGCTTGGCATTAGCCTTTCTAGTTTTTTTTTTGTTTTCAAAACATCTCAAACAACATAGTAAATAGGCTAACTATCAAAGTAAATTAGAATATATTTTTAATTATAATTTAAACAAATTATAATTAAAAATACCATTGATAAAAATTTAGTAAACAATATTCTGAAACATTGCAAAGAATTAATTGAAAATGCATCACTATTACTCTCAGAAGCAGAGAGTGTGGACCTGAAAGTTTATGAATCAAAAACAAAGTATCTGCTACTATCAAGATGACATCAGATTGAGGTTGCTGACAACCTTCTGGTGGGGAAGTACACATTCAAGAGGATCAGTGAGTTCACTTACTTCAGATCCATAGTGGACAATGGACAATAACAGCTCCATCACAAGAGAAATTCACTCAAAGCTCCACAAAACTAATGCATCATACTATAGCTTGCAAAAAATACAATAATCCAGAATCTTTACCTTTACAACCAACTTTAAAATACCCACTACAGGCACCCTAGCGATGATTTTAAATTAACGATAAATTATTATTATTATTTGTAATAGGAATTTATTATTGATATGAAATTATTATTTATACTATGGAATGGCACTGCTGCTGCTAGAATCCCTTGGGGGAGAGGGTTAAGGATTACTCTCCCCCTGTGGGGGTAATCCTTAACCCCCTTCCCCACAGAGGAGAATAAATATCCCTCCCTGTGGGAGGGGAATGTTTTCACCATGCATAAAGAAATCCTGTTTGCTGTTTGTGTATTGATTTATTAAGATTAGTTCTTAAGATAAAGAACTGTATATATATTTATACATATTAAGTACATCAAACTTTTAAAAATTAACTTAAAAAACTTTCATATATTAATTGGATCAAACATGCCTAGTGGAATGTGTAAAGAACGCTGACTAGGGGGTGGCCTGGGCTACTAGTATGATATCTGTTAAATCAGGGGTGTCCAACCCGCGGCCCGCATGCGGCCCAAGGCAAGTTCCAATGTGGCCCGAAAAACGTGTAAACAAAACTGACAAATTTTTATTTATTTATTTATTTTAAAGGCATAAACCTCAAAAAAAAGTTTCACAAAGCCCTAAACTTTTATACGTATTTTATTTTTTAATAGAAAGGAAATATTTTCAAATGCTTGAAATGTGTGAATGAGGAAGGAATACTAAATAAAGCTGAAGTCGTGACTCAAAGGATTATAGCCCCAAATTCAGGGAAAGAAGAGAATAGCAAAAAAATAAAAATAATTGAGAAAGGTTGAAAAATTAAAGATCAATATTTGCATAACAGAAGATCTATTTAACCTTTTCACTTCTTTATTTTTTGACCTTTTTGTCCTTTCTCCGAATTTAGGTCTATAATCGTTTGAATACCAACTATAGCTTTATTTAATACTCCTTTCAGGGTTGAAAGATTTGGCAACTTTGCGCCAAATTTGGCTACCCTTTTTTAGTTTGGCGTAAAAAATATCATTTGGGTCATTGGCTACAATTTTGGCCTACATATTATTTATAAATATATTTGTTGAATAAAAATGCACTTTAGAACTGTGTTTCGTTTTTTTTAATTAAAAACCCAAATAAAACAAATATTTGTGTTTTTCAAATAAATTTTTGTTTTTTTCCTTTATAATAAATAAATTTATCTATTTATAAGTAGAAATTAAAAGTGTCTGTAGAAGTAATTTTTTAAAATATCTATTTTCGTGATAAAGTTTTAATACTTATTACTATAATCTAGGCATGTAGATCCTTAAATATACAAGTATATTTACGGATTGGGCCACGATATACTTGTGGCCCAGAATTTTATGACTTCTTCCAATGTGGCCCAGAGAAACAGAAAGGTTGGACACCCCTGTGTTAAATAATCAAAGCAGTTATATTTTTTTACATCTTGTTATTGTTTAATCCTTTGTAGAGGTTCTACTTGTTTTGTTTTTTGTTGTATTTCTGTACATTTAAATAGTCTATATTTATTGATTTACTTACACCATTAGATATGGTGCAACATGGCTCATGCCAAAAAACCCAACCTAACCATGAAAAAATTCATCTAAACAAATATAATAAAATTTGTCTAAAGTGGAATACAATGGTAGAAGCCAAAATTTTCTGCTTTAGTGGGTAATTTTAGTAAGAAAAAAAATTGACAAGAGAAACTTTATACAACTTATAACTGCTTCTCTTATATATAACTTATAAAAGTTTATATGGAATTCAGAGTAAAAAAAATTCAATACTTATGAAATGTTTTAATTACCTTGTTCTTGAACACACATGATCTAGTCAGAATCTAGACTAATCAAGATCCGAAAATATTTAAAAAATAAAAATTGTAAACTTTTATTTAAAAATTATTCTTATACAGGGTTCCTACTCAAAATTTTGTTTTAAATTTTATGACTTTCCCTGACCCTCACATCCCTTATGATATTATGCATTAACAAAATAAAACATCAATTGACTTACTATGCACATAACTATTGCTTTTCCAATTTTTTAACTGGTTATTTTTGCTAATTAACAGTTATATATTTTTTATAATTAATGAATGAGTAAAATAAAAAATACAGAATTATGGCATGTCTTCTCTATATAAAACTAAAATGTCTTATTAAATAAAAATAATTTATCCTGCTATTAAACCATAACTGTAAAACTTCATGGCTTTGAAAAAAAAAGCCATTAATTATTTAAAAAATTCTGTATAATCCATGTACAAAAGTATAAATTTATTAAATTTGTCCTTTTAATAAATTTTCCAAACTTTATAAAATATTAATAAACTGAGAAAAAAAAGTTTCAGAAATAAGAAATTGTTTTTGTTATGAGATCAAAATTATTAAAATGAAAAAATAATAATATTAACTCAAATAGTATTATTTAAGTTATTTATCATTTTTGGTTCTTTGCTATAATTTTTTCCCATCTAACACATGCCCTCAGATTGAAAGTGTAAATTGAGAGAGAGTTAAAATATTTCAAAATTTTTTTTGATCAATGTTAGATTATTAAGAGTATTTGATTTTTCTCTCAAACCTATAATACTGCATAATTAACACAGCAGTTTTAAAGTCTGAAAGTATTTTAAAATTTAAAAATAACAATTGATATTGTTGTATGCTTGTATATTTTGTGTACTATAATTTTGGGGAAATTTTGTGTATGCTTGGGTGAAATTTTGGATTCTAAAAATATTCTGCAATCCCTTTTCATAAGTTACACTGTAGTGTACCACAATACTTCTTGCTATTTGCAGACAGCTACATTTGGTCAGCCATACTGTCAGCAAACAAAATCAACAAGGCAATCAAGAAAATAAATTCCCTGATTTTTTTCACAATTTTTAACAAATTCCTCGACTTTCTAAACACTAATGAAAATCCCAGACTTTCCAGGTGCGTAGGAACCCTGCTTATAATATCTAAGAAAAACTGAACTTTGGCTAGTTCTAAAAATTTTGTTAAGTAACACTGACTGCTTCTTTTCTTTAATTAATATGAAGGAAAAAAGTATTTCATTCTAAAATGAAGTTGCCATGTAATAGCTTTTATTTGTGAAAAATTAGAAACATTGAATTAATTTTATTTCAGTAACTATTTTTTCTGGATTTTAACACATGATTTTACCCTGAAAATATCATGAGATTTTAAATATTTGTTACAGGTGAGTTAACTCTTTAAACAGACAAGAGAAAGAGCAGTATTGTCATACTATTTTTCAGATAACAAAACTACAATCTTAAAAAAATAAAAAAAAATTGATTTATAGTCAAACAATTATAGTTTATCAAAGACATTGACCATTATTAAAGTCTGCAAGTTACAGTATTAATTATGATTTAGAATTTAGTTGTTACATAAAAATTTTGTTTTACTCAGGTTGTTATACAATTTGTTTCTAAAAAGTCTTCCATTTTCCTGTTACAGATTGCTAGGTAAAATACTACGAGTTGCAAAACTATACCATTCAAAAAGACGTTTTCCATTCATGGAGAATCCATTTTAGACAGGTTTTACTATACTAATTAAATCATTTTTTCAAAAAATAGTGTCTTACTTTTTAAAAACAGACTTATTTGAAAAAGTAAATAATAAAACAACACAAATATGAATACTCGGAAAGACTTACCATTCTGGAATCCATTAAAGCTTTAGCAATAAATTTTCCCAATAATTTAAATTTACTTTTAACTTTTGTTACATGACCAACTTTGGCACTGCGACCCAGGGGAAGCGGAAACAGACCGCAAAGGGAGTGAATGTAATCTGTAATTTGTTCTTTAATTACTAATTAATTCAAAAACACACATTAATAATTGTTGTTTTAATAATATCATTAAAATTCTATAATATAATATAAAAGATCATCATCAATACACACTATATAAATTTTTTTTAATACCTCACTTCTACAAAGTATTATAATCATCATTAATATATACAGACCTTTGTAATATGCTGTGAAACAACTTAGTCTATTTAAATTTTCAAAAACATTAGATTATAATGAAATGATTTCAACTTACTGATTTGAATTCTACTATAAAGATATTACTTTTTAAAAATATTACACATTAATGTCCTACATTGATCCCGAAAATATTTATGTTGACCTCATTGACCTGTGTAGGCGATCCCAAATATTTCCGTGTTTACATCGGAATGTTTTTGATACTATATGTCGCTTTGCGTCACAATTTTTATATTAAAACAAACTTTTAAAATAAAATTTTTTTTGTTTTTATATTATTTAATATATATATTTTTTTGTAAAACATAAAAAAATAATTTTTTACAATACAGTAAACACGATTATTATTTTAAAAAAAATTTAGGCTTAACATCGATGAAAATTCAACATGGCGTCACAGGCAACAAGTAAAAATTTCAACATTGAATAGGTTAAATGTTCTAATTAGCAGTTATAAAATGTTAATTAAAAAAGATTCAGAAACTATTTACATAAGATGCACAGAATGACTTCAAAAAATTTACATAAAATGTACTAAAATTGAAATATTTTAATTGAGAAATGCACTTACAAATTAAAAATTACTCATGGTTTTGAAGAGTATTATGTATTAGTAGTGAAGTAAATTATAATATATATTTTTAGTTTACAGATTAGTAAGACAAATTAATATTTATCTGATTAAGGTCATTGTTTTTGAAAAACAAAATTAGATATTTCCCACAAATATAATACAGCAGAACTCCAATTATCTGAGGTATTGTAGACTGATGCTACCCTGGATAATCAAAAACAGTTAAAATGGATGACCATGGCCTTTTTGGAATAAAAATTATGAATATAAAAGATTTATCTAACTTAAATGATAAAAAGTAACAGAAAATCAATTTTTAATATATTTTATTGTTTTAAAAATGTCTTATGAATTACAGTGTAAGAAAAATAGTGTATTCACTTACAGGATAGCCTTGGATAATGCAGAACATCGGTTAATCGGGGCTCGGATAACTGAGGTTTTGCTGTAATAATTATTTCTCAATGTCTAATTCACACCAATAAAGACTTTTAATGAAAGATCAACCCTACATAATTTATCTATTAAATACTTTTAATTATTTTAATGTCAATAAAATAAGAACACACTCATTATTCCAGGTTAAGTAGAAAATATTTCCTTGAACAATTGTAACTAAGACTTCTAATAAATTTTTTCCCTATGTTGAAAATATTTACATTTATAACATTTAAGGCAGAGTATTTACATAAAATCAGAATAAAAATTAACAAATTAAAATAAATTTTCATAATTTTCTGAAGTACAGTAAAATCTCTATATAACAAATTCTTGGGAGTAAAAGACTTAGATACAGGGAAATTTCCATTTAATACAATCAAAATTCCTAAATGGAAATTCAATTGTCTCACCATCATCTTTCATCAGCTCCAGTAGTTTTAAAATTTACACAAAATTATATTTAGGAAACTAAGCTGTACTGTAATTCAGCATCCTCTCATTCCAATGATATCATGCCCTTTGAGGCATTTTATGAAGTGGAAATCATCCATTTATTTGTTCTTAGCAGCTTTTGCTTCAAGATCTCTTTCAGTGCCCTCAGTTTCTTCTTGTAATGCACTGGATGAATGTTCCAAGCCTTTCTGAATGAAAAATTTCTTTACATTTTTTAATGAAAAAGCTAGAAAATGACAATTTCTGTTTTTTGTTCAAGGCTGCCAGAATGTCAACATCTTCATTTTATTGTGAATGCTTGCTCAAACAGAGCTGTATTTCTGTTTTATTCAGTTTTGATGATAATCACAAAAATAAAACAATCTTCAGCATTTATGTTTTCTTCTATCTCTTCCAGAATGACTTGAAGTTGTTGCTAGACTAAAAGTCATAGTGTTGGATTCAACAGTTTTAACTTTTACATCCAACCCTTTCAAAGCATTTTTAAACTGAATATTTTTCTATTAGCTTGAACAATGCTATCAGTTTCTCAACAGGATTCAATAACTGAAAACATTTTAGATGCCTCCGAACTGTTATTCAAGTTTTCACATTCAGCAATGCCTGAATCATCAACTATCAGTGATGAGCATATATGTATGATCTTTTGATCTAAAGAACTAAAACAGTGTTGCTCAGAAAAACTTCCAATTTAATGGCAGTAAGCATGATGTGGAAATGGCATACAGCACTGTTCAGAAATAAAAGAACATTTCTATTTTCTTTTTGCATTTTCCTATTGAAATTATGCAGCCATTTCATCATTGCAGCTGTCAAGGCATTTGTATTAAATTCTTGTATTATTGGATGAACGGTTATTTTGTCAAAATACCTGGTTAGTTTAGTTTTTCCTATGACTAATAGTTTCTCATTCACTATTTATATTGCAACATAGAAAAAGTGTCAATCTTTTGTCATAAACAGTGTGTATATAGCACAAGGACTTTGTTGGTCATCTAAAAGAAAAAACAAAAAATCATCTTGCCATAATTGAATAAATCATAGGGATCATATCTAAAGAATTTGCTTTAGATCTTTCAAGGCTATCACAATTTCCGGATCAGTACCTAGCTTTATCTATATAACTTTTTAAAAAGAATCTGATATTTATTTCCAAATTTTTCTAGCCATTCTAGCCTTAAAATTTGTCAAACTTTGCTGATGAGTGCAAGACAGTGCTTTTTGCTGTGAAATGGGTCTTGACAATGGAATGCTTTTTATTCTCATTGCAACAAACTTATCATACACTGTTTATAATTTATTTTGTATACTAGTACTTTCTATATATTAACCAAAGGGTTTACCAATTCTGCATTTTTCACATTGTTTTCATATTAAATACAGAATCTAAACTATTCAGCATTTTAATCTTTTTGTGAGTATCAGACAAGTAAATTTCTTTGACATCATACTATAAGTGATACAAAGTTATAACCCAAAAATGTTCCAAAATAAAATACTGTACATTGCACTAATTTGTAATTATGAAACATTAATGACTTCTGTACAAAGGTAAGTACACAATGTTTTGTAGTCTACTCATTTTTTAACTATTTGTATATTAACTCTTTAAATATGAAATTGGCCAAAACTGCCTTTTGAAATGAAATCAGCTGAAAGCAAAGTTGTTTGACTGGTTTTGCTTTACAAATTCCCCCATAACTAAAGCAAAGCCTGAGGGGTAAAAACAATTTTATATCCAGCTATATAGAAAGAAGTTTTCAAATTTTAAAAAGTTAAAGTACAATCTTTTCTTCTGTTTTCAATCAAAAGCATTTTTGCAACACTTAGGGTGCGACTATGCAGACGCAAGCGAGCGAATTTTCCAAGTGAGCGAGAATATGTGGCGAGAAGAGGCAATACGTGATAAATATCAAAACCTGTCAAATATGTGTGAGAATCAGAAATTAGCTCTCGCCAGCGTTATTTCTCACTTCTTGTTTGTGCATGGTTTTCCTTTGCGAAAACTAAATTGCTTGCAAGCTTTTGCTCGCTCTAAATTTGCGTCTGCATAGTCGCACCCTTAGATCAATGTGAAAGATTGCCAGAAAGAGAAGCTGAAACAATGAGAAACCTGTAAAAGGAACTGGAACATAGCTGTTTTTGATGAAAGCTTTTCTCTTCTCCTGTTCTTTTATACCCTCATCCATGGTTCCCAGTAAGATCTTTTCTTAATTCTACATCTGGAGACTTTCCACAATAAGAAAAATCTCTCTCTTTTGGTTACTTAACCTTTTACATTCAAATTATTTCTGATCCATTGCATGGAAACCATTGATTCTGCCCTTCTATCACCAGTTGCATCTTTCCCAAGACCACTTCTCAACTAAGTATAATATTAAATGCAACACATACACATTTGATATTTCTGTTATATTAATATACCAAAGTGTATAAAAATTTAATTTTCCTTTCCTGATATAATATCCAAACAATTAACCACACACTGGGTTTTCTAGAAAGACTACTAAACAAAGAGTTGACACAGATACAATAAACAATTACAAAATGTGGATACATATTTATTTGCAACATTCAATTGATGACTCCCAAAAGCAAGAAAAACAAAACAAAAAAAAAACATATTCATTATATTAGCATAAACTTTTGCTCATACTCTTCCTGGAAAAAAAAACTGGAACTTTAAATAATATAATTTTGAAAACTATAAAATCTTCCATTAGGTGCTATTTCATCAAACAATATTTCAACATGTAGAACCCTGTATTTCTAGCTGGTAGAAAATTTGCTTAATGAGAATATTTCAATTAAATAGAATGTCCATTATATGGAGATTTTACTGTATTTAAAAATTATTAAAGTATTGATTTTAATTTGATATTTACCTTTAGTATTATCAACAGTAACACGCTCTCCACGCCACATATCCAAATCTCCACGTTGTAATTCCTTAGATACAAGTGCATAGAATTCAAGTGTTGGTCCCAATCCTGTTCCAACCTAAAACAATTTTTTTGAATTATTATTAACAGATCTGTGATGTAACTATTTTAAAATTTTACTCTCTTGATTGAATTTAGTAAATTTTATTTGCATTATTTCAAAAAATATTTTGTATAATGAATCAGATATATTTAAAAAAAAAAAAAAAACTATCAGAACTGCATAGTAATATTGTTTTATAAACAAACTATATTTGACAAGCTGTTTCTTTTCATTAATTGGTTAATTTACATCAAATTGATCTATATTTCTGGTCTAAAAAGACAATTTTATTTTAGATTACTTCAAAAATTTATTTACAAATAGGAAAAAAATAAAATTTTTAAAAATTATTGTTGTTCTTATATTATAATTTCTTATAAAGAGTATATTTAAATTTTAAAAACTTCCAAAAAAATTAAATTCAAATTATGTTTTATGCTTTCTTAGTTTTATAATCAATTTAGCTTATATATATATATATATATTTATCTACCTCGCTTTCATACTGTATTTCAAGAAGTGCACGTGAACTTCCTAAATCTTGCATGACTACTTCTGCTTGTTTTAGTAAATCATCTCTGGAAACAGTTCTCTGGAAATAAAACATTACCAAGGTACATGTAAATTTGTAATTACCAACATTGATTTTAGAGTAACAAATTAAATCTGAAATAATTTTCATTACCTTTCTGCGATCTAATCTGGGAGTAACTCTCTCACTGCTATCACTACTACTCAATTCAGGTGTCATATCTAAGAGGCGTTGTAAAGCCCGATCTCTGTCAAATGATGTGACATAAAATAACAAATGTCTTGTTTCAAAGGGAAATAAGAAAGGACTGTTGGAAAAAAAAAAGTATTTTAAACAATACATTAAAGAAAAGAAAAGAAAGGAAAAAAAAAAAATCATAGAAGTGTGAAATAGCTAGAAGCAATACTCTCAAATACTTAGTATTTTATTATTGATTAAATAAATAAAAATTTAAAAGCAAAATGATTACTTTAAATTTATGATATGAAATTTTGAAGTAGCAATTAATAATTGCTTTCAATTACTTTGTTTGCAAGTCAGTTTTATTATGATTTTACATACCATGCAGTAGCTATTTGAGATAACCATGGAGGAACATTTCCTGTCATTATAGCCAATGGATCCTGAAGTTGACGATTAGCTTTTGCAGTAAGTTTATTATTTAAAAATTCTGACTGCACAACTGCTGGACCCCAAGAACTCATCTATTTATGTATAAAATAGTCTTATTAAAAATAGATTAAATCATCAAAAACCATAAATTTTAATTATAAGTTAAACTGAGTAATTTTGAATACATTTATCAATAAAAAAATTTTTTATAATGAAAACTACCTCATAAAGCATGCCCCAATGTTGACTGAGTGCATAAATAACTCTCAACAATGTGATTACTTCTAAAGATGGATCTTGAATTGTGACATTTTCAGGTAAATTTGGACTAAGAAACTGAGAAAGTGGGGATACGACTTCAGGTACTATTCCTTCTATATTGAAATTTTAAAAAACCAAGAAAAACAAAACACAGGATAAATAAATTTGTAATATTCAATAAATAATCTTTTCTATAAATTTTACTACCATTCCATAATTCATCTCCCTTCTTTTTTGGTGAAGTTCTTCCACCACTTGATCCTTTATTTCGACGACTAGAATAACCAGAGTTAGGAGTCTGAGTGCGTGAAAAGGCACCACTTCTATTTTGTCCGGAATCTGATTCATCGACAGGAACAGGGCGATACCTAAATCAAAACCAATTGTGATATTAAATTTAGATCACTACACCTCAAATTTAAAAAAATTTACCATATTGTGTGTGTCTGAACCCATATATTGGTGTAACCCATAGGATTTTCAGAATCTGTATCTGTTTCCTGACCATCTGAACTCTGGCCTTCAGGACAACTATACTGTCTTATAGCTTGATAAACAGTCATGTTATAGGGAAGAATATTTTCTCCAATTAAAAACTGCAATTTGTGACGTCCTTGTCCTTGATTTATCATCATTGCAGCCTAAGTTTCAAATTAATATATTACCAATTATTATTTCATTAAAAAGATTATTTCAGTATCGCATGGAATTTTATAAAATGATTACCATTGTGTCATCTATATCTTCATCAGAATTATCATCATCACTACCTTCATCGTCATCATCCTAAACATTAATATTTTTAACATTAAATGAAGAAAAGAAAATTAAAGAAAATAGTAGATTACAATATTTCTTACCCTAATGCGACTGTATCCTCTAATTACTAGATATCTTTCTATAGCTTGTACCAGAGCCAAGGGATCAATTTTAACAGGACCACCTCTCCATTGGCGAAGATTAGTACAAGCTGGATGACGTTGTAAATTACACTGGAAATATGATTGAGATAAATGTTTAGTTGTTTCGTCAACCTGTTTGTCAAATATTTAAATGACCGAAAATTAGACATTGTAATATTAATATTTCTCATTACCACAGCCATATCAGTACATCTGCTACTGAATTTTAGAATGCATTTAAGTCTGTGGTTTATACAACTAATATAAGCAAAACTACATTATACAAGAAACATGCCAAAGTGAAACTAAAGATGAAAGGATTAAATATCTTTTACAATGACATGATCAAAACAATAATCCTCTATAAAATCCAATTTATGATAATTAGACAAGCATTAAAAAATAATGTAGATTCAAGCTTGTAATTAATAAAGTGGTGTAGTAAAGAAATCAAACTGCCTCATATCTACAGATTAGAAATAAAAATTGGAAATAATTTATTTTTGAAACAAATCAAAACTCTTATGGTGAAAAATTTTAAAACTTTTTCCTAAAAATTCTATTATTTTTCCATTTTCTCTAATAGTTTTTTGCAAATGCATTGAATTGAACAGATATTTTATTTTATATAAATATGAGAGTGTCATTAATCTGAATTAAAAATAACAGGCAAATGCAATTCATAATATTAAAGTTAAAAAGGATGACATCATTACCTAATTGAAAACAAGTACTGTACATTTAGATTTATCTTTAAAAATAAAGAATTTATTTTGAAAACACCACCACAGGGTGACTATTCATTTTCTGGCATGCTTGATTCCAAAGACTTGCTTATTAATGGCTTTACTGGATAACTGAGATCATGTCACAACCACCAATGATAAAACCTGGACTATTAATTATATGCCTTCTATCTCTCTGGACTGATGAAAACTTAAGTGTTTGAATTGGTGTTTATATTTGATATCATTGACATTTGCATCTCTTTCAAAAGCCATAGACAGAATTAGGAGGATTAGATGTAAATAAAATAAGCTAAAAATTGTACAAAATAAAATAATTGCTAACATCTACAATGTAAATAATCTCAGTGAGCACACGCAATACTGTGGCCATTCAATAACCAAGCCTGGTGGTCACAGGAAAGCTATCAAAGTTTTCCTTTTACTCAGCTCTTAAAATTCCTGACTTTTTCAACGTTTTTGAGTAAAATTTTACTATTTTATTATTATAAACTGACAAATTTATAATAAGTAAAAAACAAATTATATTACATAAAATCGAACTCAAAAAAATTTGAAATGTTATTTTAAGATGATTAAATTTTGGTGGGGAAATCATACATAAAATCGATTAGGTGTGATTTCTCCATCTATAAATTCTTCCTTATTTAAGAATAATTAATATCAACAAAATAAACAGCAACCTACTAATTACATATGATAAATATTTTACTAAGTATTTTATCCAATAAAGTGAAAACTGCATGAAGTAAAATGAATTTATGTAGTGTTAATCACTATAGTATTTACAACTAAATACAATCATGCAAAAATATTAATTTTTAGTGATATTTGTGACAAAGAAAACAAAAATTTTATAGTTCTTTTAAAGTTGCATTTTTCTTAATTCAATTCTTAAAGTCTAATACAAATCTTTCAGTAGAAAAAGAAATTTAAATTTTTTGAGTATTTATTTATTGTGACATAATGTCAAGCATTCTCACCACCTTAAATTAGTAGTAGCTTGCCCCTCTACATTATAATTTTCCTTTAACAATAGAGTTATGCTGATCAACATCTTTCAGAGTGAAATTTTTTTAACTGAAATAACGACTTCTGGCTCGCATCAAAAGTTCGTATACAAGGTCTGTTCAAAAAATAACCAAACTTTTTGAATTAGGCAAAAACTGAATGTCCTAGTGTTGTGAAGTTGACAGCACTATGTTCGTGATAACTTACCGAGTAAGCAGCTTTTTTTGGATTGTTGATACCTTGTTTCGTTTCAGTGTTATTGATTTTTGAGCAAAAAGTATTTCAGTGTTAGTAGCAATTTTTGCAATATGCAACTTATGGAAACAACAATTCAATGTGAAGTTTTGCATCAAACTGGGGAAAACTTTTATGGAAACATTTCAAATTTTGAGTCAAGCTTATGGAGATGATGCTCTAGATCGTATGCAGTGTTAAGAAAGGTTTACCTGATTCAAAACTGGTAGTCAATTAGATCAAGATGACCCTTGACCTTAACTGATGACACTCATGTTCAGAAAACTAGAGTTGTGCACTTTGAATTTTTGCCTCAAGGTCAAACAGTCAACTGTCAGTACTATGCAGATGTTCTGAAACAACTGCATGAAAGAATTCACAAAAAAGAGACCAGAGTTGTGGTGAGACAACTCACCATGACAATGGTGCCTGCTCACTCAGCCTTGTCAATTCACCAGTTTTGTGCCAAAAATGAAAGGACTGTCCTTTCCAGCCTCCCTACTCACCAGATCTGTCTCCTTGCAATTTTTTCTTGTATCTAAAATTAAATCAGTGCTGTAGATGCAGTTTTGACACAAGTGATGACATTAAAACCAATTTGTCACAAGCATTGAAGGACAGTCCGAAACAAGCTTACCAGGACTGCTTTGCAAACTGGAAATACTGATAAGATATGAGTGTGAATAGGGGAGAAGAGCACTTTGAAGGGGACAAGGACCAATAATCTAACTTGAAGAATAAAAATTAAAAAATAAAATTTGGTTATTTTTTAAACAACCTCATATATTTAATCAAGGTCTCCTGCTCCTAAGGTTTCCATATCTGGTCTCGTCTTTCATCTATTTAACTGTTCTCAAAATTAAGGAGACAGACAGACAGACAATAAGAATTTATAGGCCTACAATTTTTTCAAATTGCTTCCCAATAATTATTTCCTGTAGCATGAAACTTATTAAAAAAAATATATATGCAATTAATTATCTTCAGTTATATACTCTTCAAATATCAATGGGATTTATAAATAAAAAATTTTTATTAAATATAATATAAATTAAAATTATTTTTGTCAAAGTACAATACATCTAAACAGTATCACTGAATTGTATTATGCTATATATGCACAGTAACAGATTACAATATTTACATATTATATGGACTTATATGTATGGAGCTTGTAAACTGTACTCCATCACCTCTATGTTCACCTTATGAAAAGTTTTAAAACAAAACTACCAAAAGTTCAGGAATACCTGTATATGAAAGTAAACTAAATTATTATAAAACTAATGTTTTTAATTTTTATAGAAATAATTTATTGGACTGCAATTTTCAAATTGCAAACCTATAAATTCAGATTGAGGATGGCCAAATGGATGACAATCTTGAGAGAATGGAGTTAAACAGATGAAAATTAAGACCAGATATAGAAAACTTAGGGGCCAAAGGCCTTGATTAACAATATAGAAATGTCTGGTTTGGAACAGAAGTCACATGATTTTTTAAATTAAAGTATGATTAAAAATTGCAGTCCAGCATTGTGATGATTTTACAATAAATAACTGTTCATTTGTTACATTCTCTGCTTTATAGAGTCAGACTAAAATAATTTGCACTGCTTTTCCCAATTTTTTTTTAAAGTTATAATTGACCAGATATTACTATTTTCATTTAGTCTGTAAAATTTCTTACTGTTTTGAATAAGGTGCTAAAGCGCAAAAATGTTTTTGCATGTTTAATTAATGTAAATAAATAGTATTAAATACTACACTAAAACTCAAAATAATACTGCAATTATTAAATCAATTTTTATACCTACAGTCATTAAATATTGTATGATGATAATGTTTTAAGCCCCAAACCGAGATATCTCGGGCAAGTTACATAGTGTTACATAAAATGCGGTCCTTAAGGCCACTTTTGAAATTTTTTTTTGAATTTTTGGAATGCTTTTTAAGTCGCCAAATTTTTTCAAAAATTTTTTCCCACGCGAAAAAATTTTATCGCGATTTTAATTTACCTTTAATGACGCACGCTTCACGCTTAATTGCTTTTTAATAGTTTTTTAATGGAGTTTGATATCAAATTTCATTCATCGTTCTAAAGTTGTAGTGCACTGATTTTCCTTCGGTAAAGTTATTTAAAGCTAGTTTCTGATGTCAAAAACAATCTCCGATAGTTTAATTTTTTTAATTAATAGATTTTATTATATATAAGTTTAATTAAGTCGAGGGGGTCGGAAATCTCAATAAAAATTTTAATTTTTTAAAAATATAGGTCTAGTTAGTATTCACCCTACTTTAAACCCTTCTCCTCCCGAGACGTCTATGTCCTGGGAAATACAACACCAGCTGTTCTCAAGGTCATCCAGCTGTGTAAACAATGACTCATCAGTGTCAACTTTCACAGAAAGACGAGACTAAGGAAAATAAAATTTGAAGCTTTTTCTTCAAAATTAAGGCATTTCTTTTGTTTCTTTTTCAGTTTTAAGTATTTTTTATGTTTAATTACATTAATATCAAAAATTGCTCGAGGCTTAAGGAATTAAGTAAAATGAAACAATTTTTTTTAAATTATAAAAGGATATCTCTCCCCTAAATATTTTAACAATTTGTAGTGTTAGATGTGACATCTTCTAATCCAACTTAAGTGAATCTATATTTGTTTTTTCCTTTAAACTCCACCTTCCATTTTCCAAAGAATTTACTTTAATTCATTATTTTGCATCTAGTCTTTTCTTTAATCAAGAATCATTAATATTTAATAATTTATAATTCATTTAGTAATAAATATTCCATCTCAAATTTAAAAAAAATCAGCACATCATACTGAATTCATATATCAAGTACAGGTATCCCTCATATAACAAGGTAGATACATTCCAAAAAAGTGCCATGTTATGTGAATCTGTGCTATATGAAACAAGAGACTAATGCAAAACATTATTGTTAACTAATGGAACGTAACCCTAAGTATACTATTCTTTTCAGTTAGTAACAGAAAAACATTTATTTCCAATCAATAATTAACCAGCAAGCACAATTAAAACTACTGTTAATATTAATTTTAGTTCAACGAGGGCATTTTATTTTTACAAAGCAA